GGGGGGGACTGCGGGGCTATCGGGACTGCGGGGCTATCGGGACTGCGGGGCTCAAAGTAACATGCTTGGGTTGGTGGCTAGCTCTCGACAGAAACTCTCAAGCAGGTTCACCCTGACTGAAACTCCTCCCGCCGCCTTGGCTTTTTTCTCCCAAAGTATGTGCTTGATAGTTCGGCGTCAAATTGAGCCGAAGTCAAACCTGCCGTTTAGAACAAAAAAATGGTCTTCAGCTAGCGGAGCACACCTGACGTCCTTCAAGCCGGTTGATCAGGACATGCTTGTAGTTGTCAGGACATTGCTGACAGTTGATCAGGAGTTGTGGAGGAAACTTTTTCTTTCGCTGATTACTTCAGTTCTTTTTTCAATTTTCGTTTCAGTAACGCCCGGTCCGGCATTCCCGTTTCGACACATGACGTCCTCAAAGACGTCGGCGTCGTCACTATCGGCGGTGGATGGCGTCGTCTTCTTGTGGCGTTGAAGGGTAACTTTGGGGTGAGCGTCACCATGGGGGTGTTCAAGCCCGTTGATGTCATGAATCTTGAGTTCAGTGACATACTTGACGTCAGATTTCATGTCAGGTTTACCTTCACGCTTGGTGCGCTTAACTTCGGTGGTTGTTCGTCTATTTTCTGCGACGTTCTTGGAATCAGTATTAACAATCTTTTCGACACCATTCACTGTCTCGGAGATGATTCTGGGTTCCTCGCCGTCCTTTTGGACTACTACCTTGATTTGAGTGTGACCTTTATTCTTACCATCAGTACCAGGGTTGTAATCACCATCATCGGATGTGTAGGTAGTGGTCTTAGTGTAGGTGGTTTTGGTGTAGCCAGGTTCGACGTCCCTTGTGCTGAGTCCATCTCGGGCGAAATGGACACTATCCCAGTCGTTGCTCCAATCCCACTCGCGTAGTTGAGTTTCTGTCCACCAGGATCTCCAATTGGAGGTATCTTCGTTCCAGCTTCGATCATTCCAGAGCTTCTCATTCAAGGCATACTGATCAGCACTTAGATGGCGACCAGCCGGTAAAACGCACGCTGCGTACGAATTAAATTCAAAAGAGAACATTGGACGCTCCTCATTCTTGATCTTGTCAGCATAAGGACCAGCTATCTTATCAAGAAGCTGAGCCTGTAGATGTCGAAATCTTGTAGCACCCAATGTAGATACTGTAGATGTCGGTATTTGATCCAACATACGATTAGCTATACTCCATACAAAACCTCGCAATACAGATGCCGGCACACGTTCATTCAAAGGTGATCCTGCAGCCAATTGAACGTAATTCGCAGCATCCAACAAATCACCAGCTTCAGGATCCGTCGTACCATACACCACCTCTAACAATGTACCTTGACTCTTGTCCAATTGCCCACGCGATCCAAACAACACACTCGTTATCTTAAACTCGCAATCGTCAGTCTCCGCAAAACGACCTTCCGGATCCAACATCATCGCCAACGCTGCCGCCGGACCAACATCATTCGATTCACGCGCAGAACTTCCTCTCATTAATTTTTTTCTGATCTCACAAAAAAAAAACACCGCGCCCAAACGGGTATGTAACAACGCCTCCCTCCGTTCACCAAACGCCCACGCTTATGCGCACCCATGCTTGTGTGCGCCCATGTCTGTGTGTGCGCCCATGTCTGTGTGTGCGCCAATGCTTGTATGCGCCCATGTCTGTGTGTGCGCCAATGCTTGTATGCGCCCATGTCTGTGTGTGCATGCTCGATTGGTGTATGTGGCTGCTAAGTTCATAACCGTGTGGTGGGAAAAGGTTTAGTAGTAAAAGGGTCAGAAAAAGAAGAAGAAGAGATTCTTCTTCTTGATCGGTCTCGGGGTGCATTGGTCTGTTGTCCAGATGGAGAAGACGTCAACGTCGCTATAGGTAGAGCCAAAGCGGATTTGTAATTCTTGGAATTCGGCTTTCCGGCCGGCTCGGGAGTTGCGATATCGTCGGATCTTTTTGGCAAAGGCGCCGGCTATCTTCGTATCGAGTTGTGTATGAAGTAGTTGATTGTCAGGAAGGCGTGGCCAGTTGGTGTTATATTCATCCATAGCCTTATGCGTTACATATCGCACAAACCGATCCAGTGTTCGGGCGGGCACTTTCTTATTCCTTTTAGATTCCGAGGCAAGTTGCAACATCCTCGCAGCGTATAACAGGCTTTGGTAACGAACGTTCAACAAGTCCGGCTGTTGAAGCAAGTCCGCTTGCTGTAGAAATGCAGGTTCCAAAACACACACCAAGTCAAGCTCTACTTCTGCTCGTCCCGGCTCGATAACTGTGCATTCAACACCCTTCACTTCACACCCTTGAATGCTAGATAACCGACCTTCAGGACTTATCAACAAAGCCAAGAAACTTGTGGTCCTCAGAACCAAGAAACCAGTTGCTGGACCCCTCTCTCGCGAACCACAAGCCCGCATTAGGTTCGATTTCTTAAAAACGCCGCGCTGTTAAGATGATCGAGTCATATGTCCGTGTGCATAAATAGAGGGGGAGCAACCGCAAGTCACCAGAATCGATCCGGAGGGATCGTCTTATGACACAGGCAACACCACATCAGCAGGCGACACAACACCAATGTGGTATTTTTACGCAAGCTGCCCGCAGAGGATTGCCAGCGGCTGCTGGCTAATGAGCCAGCGGCTGCTGGCTAGCGGCCGCTTGTGTAGTACACATGTTCAAGACTCATTTTCAAAACACGTGTGTGGAGAACAATACGGATGGCACGCAATACGGATGGCACGCAATACGGATGACACGCACTCCTGCAATACTGCCTCCTACAGTACCAAAAAGTCAAACTGGCGACAACCTTAAAAACAGCTAGCTAGCTAGCTGCCCACGAACAAGAAGTGTAAGCACAAGCGCAGGTGAACCGCCGGACAGCGGGGCTCAAGAGTTGCCTGCGGTAGGGCCCACCCTCGAGTCATAGAGTGTTACCAGACTGCACCGAACTTCACAACGTCTCCCTTCTCAATACATCTTTGCTACCTGCCTGAAGCGTCCGTAATTCTAGACAGCCGAAAAGCAAACCGACTGTGTGTTTGACTGCGAGGGTGATCGGTGCAACATGTTGTTTGGTTGCACCGATCACCCTCGCAGTCAAACACACAGCCCTCTCTCTCTCTCTCTCTCTCTCTTGGGATCAACCCGGGAAAGATTGCCTCGTGGGTGGTTTGAGGTTTACGTCGTGTTAAAATTTGGGGAGGGGGTACGGGGCCACGACCGCGTCGGTAGGTGTTAGTTCGAGGGCTAGTTGGGTGGTTGGGTGGTTAATGAGGGCGTGTCGTGGACGTGATTTTTTAAGGTCTGCCAAAAGCTGAGTTTTCCTGGTTTTGCGTCGGTGGCATCAGTCCAGAAGGATGAAGCGCTGGCAGATTTGTGTTCGGGTGATATTATGATGCTGTAGGTCGCCTCCAGTTCCTCCAGTTCTTTGATCGCCAGCTCATGCTGTTTTTCGGCATCAAGTTGTATTTCAGTGTCAAGGGTGGGCTGCACGGTTACAAGTCTTAAGACGTCATCTGTCTCGGCAAAGTAGCCGGCAATGACGTGACGGAGTTGGACGCGAAGTAGGTCTCGAGGAACCTTAGATGGGTGTCGTTTGAGCACGTGTTCGGCAAGCCAAGCAACAAAGCGACGACGCGTTTGAGGTGATACCTGTTTGTTGATGGGTGATTGATGTAGTAGTTGAGCCACATTCGCTTCCACGATCACTGCAAATGGCTGACGCACTGTCTTAGGCACGGCAAACAGAAGCTCCATATTGACACCAAGATTGCGCTCCAACTGAAATGGAGTCCCAAACATTACAGTCGTCTTCCACCACTTGCAATTGTTCGCACTGGACAACCCATCACAACCAACCAACACCGCCAACATCGCACTTGGGCTTAATCTCGCCCGCGCGTAACTACTCCTCGCACAACTACTCCTCATCCTAATTTTATTCCCCCCCGACCCTGACCCCCCGACCCTGACACAGTGCCGTCTTGCCTGACCATAGTCTGGTGGTTGTCTGTTGGTTATTTGTCAGAAACGTTGAGTGTGGCGTATGCTTGCGTCTTGTTGCCGGTTTCGATGAAGAGGTTGATGTCCATGGTGGGTGAGTTGAAGTCTTGGCAGGCTACAGGTACACAGGCGATGGCGTCTGCGTCTGAGAGGTCGAATGTATCAGCGCATTTGATGATTTTGTTTCCAGACTGGATGTGTTTGTAAACTTGTGTTTCGGCGGGTACACCTTGTTTTGCTTTGCGATTCATAGTGATTGTATCGCCGTTCCGTTTCATCTCTTTCAGCCATGTACACCAGGCGACAAAGAACTGTTTGGCAGTCGTGCAATTGTTCTTCAGCTTAGTCTTTCCGTTACCCTTGAATTTCCAATTCGGAATTGGTTTCCCACCGCTTGCCTTTGCCAGATATGTCAACCCCGCCGGGTCACCATCCTGACTGTATACATAGCTCACAGTCCCACCATCAATCTGCTCGAAAACCAGGTAACAAGCACCATTATTCACCATCGTCGTCGCGTCAAATCCTTGCGAATTAACTTGCTTCTGCTGGCGTTGTTGCTCCTTAACTTGCTGGTCAAGAGCCTTGACGTTTCCACAACAAAACACTATTTTCGATTTCCGCACGTGCGGCACACATTTAATGTCCAGATGCCAACATGTGAGATCCACGACATGATGACGACGTGATGAGACCTGGTGAGACCTGGTGAGACCTGGTGAGGGGGGTGAGGCCTGGTGAGGG